TTAGACAATCATTTTCTTTTTTGATTTATAGATGCTATTGAAACCCTCAAGTTTTGTTCTCATGGCTTTTGTCATCTGAACCCAGGAGTGAATTACTCATTCTTAGTCACCCATAATTCTGTATTTGGCATGTAAATCCCAAACAGCTAATAATCTGTAGTTCAGACATGCATTATACTTACATGTTAATTTTCGAAAAGGTTACAGAAGTAATTATTGGAAGATAACATGCTGAGAAATTTATGGGATAAATTCTTTTCGTCTTTAACTCCTTGTTATTTCCCTTTCCTTGTTTTGAAGAATTTCTTCAAGGCGGAAATAAACACAAATGCAATATTAAAGTTTAAATCCTATTTGCTTGATGGATTTTTTGCAGGTGACTGGGCAGATGACCAAAGAGGAAAGTCTTGAGGCAGACCTTGAAGGAAGCAAGGGAATTTTTTTTTGGGTGTCTCTGACACATACCGAATCACCTAGGTGTAATTAATGACTGAGAGAGGTTATCAGAAATAGCGCTTGAGGTCAAAGCATTGGACTCATCAAACAAAATCGCTCGATGAGGTGATTGGAAGATGGTAGAGAAAACTAAAGTTAAACTATTGCATTAATCAGAGAAACAATGGATAACAGATTTTTTTCTTCATGAGAAGACGTAAAATATTGCCTTTTTTAAAAATAATTCAGTGCATGAGGAGGGTATATATAGCTTTTAAGCTATAATTTTACCAACAGTACATTCAATGTACCTTCTTGCAACAAGAATGTTGTATTGGGCGTGCCTTTTCTAATCCTCCAAAAGCCATAGTTACATTGAGCTTTTTATTTTACGCCTGAATACATAATATTATAATAACACATAATATTATCTTGAGTTTTGATGACCAATTTAATCAAAAAGGAGAATATTATAGCCCCAAAGTAACAGATGATTTAGTAACATAGCATCTGTTACAAAACAAAGGGGAAAAAATGAGCACTTTTATTGTGGTAGTCTCTGTCAAACAAGAAAAATGTGTAAGAATACTACGATCACCAAAGAATGGTGTGCATTTTGTAGGCAAATGCAGCAGACGATTTGCACCCAGTAGTGTACCACAAACAACCATGAAGTGAATGACTTTTCGTTAAATATATCTAGGGGTTTGTTGGCCCAGGGCACCAGAATAATAGTCCCTTTTTCAATTAATCCAAACGGATCTTTAATGATCACCTGAACAGGCAAATACCTCAGTTCAGCATCTCATTTGAAGGACAATATATCCAACATTGCAATGTTCTCCCAGCACTGTATTAGACTGTTATCTTAGGACTGAGTTCCAAGTCCTGATGTGGGGCTACAACCCACAACCTTCTGACTCAAAAGTGAGAGCGCTAACAACTGAGCCAGGCTGAGCCCTTAAACCTCACAATAGTAATATTATGTTCTGTAAACAAATCATATTTTTTGTACGGTACATAAATTGTTTAACACGTGTGCAAAATTGTATTTTTCCTAAAGGGTTGGTACATTACTAATTGCCATGATCATATGCCACCCTTCCCAAGATCTATTACACTTGATTGTCCTGAGTGACTTGGCTGACCTACAATTTCTAGTCGCTGGTGTTTCTACCACAGGGTCACATTCTAATCCAGACACAGCAGCTGCCCCACAATTTTCTGTAACATGGCCAAAAACATTGGCATAGCTACGTAGCTTCTACAATTCAATGTGCCAAGAACTGAGTCATTTATTATTCTCTCAAAACTGTTACACTTAATGCAATGATAAGCACCAGAAAAGAGTGGAACCATAATTTCACTGGAATCTTGCTGCAGGATCACACTTGCCCCCGTCTCCCCCCGCAACACACACCATATACAAACCTTTAGTGGTGAAGCATTTGTTCTGTGCATTCTTTTACCAAAAACTTAATACATGATAATTATATACTGTATCAGACTGTTCCGAATGAAGAGAGCTACAGCAGTAGAAAGATCAAATAATTTATAGTTCAACCTATGCAGTGCTTCACTCAGCAGAGTGTAGGTTATTCACATCAAGATGATGTTTAAAGAATTGAATTTTGCATTCAATCAATTACTGTCAAGTGTGTATCGCACTAACACAGGGGTCTAAAAGGACATATCTGAAAATAGCCTCTCTGGCAATTCTGATAGTTAATTCAATGGCAGTGAAAGAAAGAACATCATCTGTCTTTATCCATAGCCTCTGGAATGTGATGTCTTTATGTTAATTATCTGTTTTAGGACACATCTATCTGATGAAAACACAAACATCCAGGCAGCAACCAAGGCTATGGTCTGGGTCTCTGCCCAGAAAATGACAGTGCCTAACTATACACTGTGTAATGTGCATAAATACGTTTTTAATTACATTCCCAAGTATTACCCAGTGCTTAGGCAATGATTTGCTTATTGCATTTAGCACTCATGATAGCCTTTGTAAATGGGTATAAGATTCAAACAGTGAATTGGTGTGTAAAGCAAATATTTAAACATGTTATTCCACTTTATGACATTTGTGTTATTTATCCCCTCCACCTGCAGGGATGTTGATAATGTATGTGAACAAAAACAGTCATACATTACCATGTGTAAACAGTTTAGAATAAAATGTTAAGACTATCGAGGCTTTACATGAGGGGCTTGAGAAAGTGTAATGTGAAGACTGCAATCAGCAGCAATTATCCACAAAACCTGGGCAACAGCGTGTGGCTGTTCTGCAAACCAGACCGGATTTTACTTGCATTTGAAACAAATTTATGAAAAATATATAAATTCTCTGTTAGTCACACAGCAGGTTCCAGTTATTGTCACTTTCAGTTTGCCATTCTGAATAGTAGCAGCATGCATGACATGCAGTTAAGAAATTTTCTCTCTAAAATTGTACAACACAAAAAAATTATTCCTTCTTCAGTTTGATAGAAGAGGCAGACAGCATGCCTCGGTCCGTATCACACAACCACAACAGCCGAAGCCCTCGTCCATGCCTTTGCCACTTCCCGGGTGGACTTTTCAAATGCCCTCCTCGCTGGTCTCCCCAGTTTCACCAAAAACAAAATTCAATTAATTCAGAACTCTGCCACCCAGATACTAACCTGCACAAAACTCCAGAATCCCATCACACCAGTCTTTGCCAGGCTCCACTGACTCCCAATTTTCGAGCAGATCAACTTCAAGATTATATAATGGGACCACCAACATATCATACATGACACAGTAACAGCAGAAATTGCTGAAAATACCACCAAAAACAACACAACCATCAAGATAACACTACACCTTCTTCCACTTGTGTGTACATTTTCTGTTTGGCAGGAGTAGGAAAGATTCACACAGAAAAATTGACAGGGGAGAGAGATAGACAGAAAGACAGATGCACACAAAGACACAATGAGCGACACAGAAAGTTGAAACTCACAGGCAGACTGGATATGGATAAGGATAGAGTCAAGAAGTGAATGAAATATAGGCGGAAGACTTAATGTTAGCATGTTTTACCTAAAACAGCTCAGGAACTAAACATGTTCAGAATTTAGTCATAGACAGCTCCTAGTTTCTCAGATAATTTGTTGAAAATAATCAAGGTCGGTTTGCACTATCAAAAAAGAAAGATTCTGCTCATCTAATAAATCCAAATGTATACTTCTATACCTAAAAGACAAAATATAATTTCTCATCAGATAGTAAAAATCCACTCAACTCAATTTTTTTAAAAACACAAGTTACATGTATGAGGCAAATGCATTTTTCCACTTATAATAAGGGATACGTTCCATTGTGAGCTGAAACAAATTTTGTTTCAAATTAGGAAAAGGAACAGGATGAAATGACAAAAGTCTGTTTGGGATGTTCTCAAGTGACCTTGCAACAGCTGTCCTATTGTTCAGTTTCCAAATGGCAGCAGTCCCCAATAAAATGTTTACATTCCAAGGCAACACAAGTAAATGTTTTACCAGCACCCTCTCTCTATTTTTAATCTTTCTTTTACCAGTAATTCTAGGTATAATCTATCATTCCCATTGGATTCAAACTTAAATCTTGCCAAAAAGCATCCAGTCATTATGCCAAAAATATGCAAATTGGAATATCATTATTCGTCCTTCTTCAGGTTAAAAAAAATACTTTCACAAGTTAATCTTAACATTTTTTTTCACAAGTTATACATTTAAATTCTGTATGGGTTGATTATAATTGATTCACAAAACCTGGATCTAAACCTCTAAATGAGAAAATATCACATGCCATCTCATCATTTGCAAACCTTGAGAGGATAGGAATTGTGAATGCAACTCTCAAGATTCCTGGATTCGCTCCACATTATGTTGAGATGATTTAGCACATTGCAAACCTTTTGACTCAAGTCTGAAGAAGAGCATCATCTCATTTGAAATAAATGCTTTGTATATTCGGACAGAAAATTCCAGTCAGTAAAGCAACATTGTCACCATCGAGGGTGATGTGCAATCAGACAAATGCCATTATGTAGCTATGAAATACAAGAGTCCTTAACCCTCAACCAAATAGTTCTATTCATTCCCCAATTAAAATAATATATATACTTTCACAAGTTAATCTTAATATTTTCTTACAAGTTATACAACAGGTTTTATGTCAAATTGACATAATCCAATTTTAAAGCTGAAAAAGAATTCAGGTCATCCATTCAATTGGCCTTTTTCATGTAGTAAATAAAAAGCTGACTGTCGTAACATTAGAATGTCACCAATACTTAAACTCAAGTCATTGGAACACTGCACAAATATAAATATACATGTACAGTGCTCCACTTTGCTTAAGGCACAGGAGGAACATAACTATTCTGACCTGCTTGGAAAGAGCCATAACTGGTGCCAGTTATTATTGAATTGGTACCTGCAGTATAGCTGACAAGTTAAATATTTAGTACTTGCAGTTTAGCACAAAGTGGAATGTGTCAAAGTCAAAATAGTTTTGCCCTGAAATTCAATTTCAAGATGCGTGGCACATATGAATACCTTTTGTCTGGGTGGCAAAACTAAGCATTAGTTTAGAGAACAGATCAGTACTCTCAAAGTTTTCTTCTTTGATCTTTATCCAAAAGCATTTCTCCGTCATGTCCTGAGGTACAATCTGAAATTAAAATACAAAATGGATTGATTTTTGCAATCTTATATCTTTAACATAAGTACAACAATGAATCAGTATTCAAATGCAGAATATCAAGATGTGTATACTATTAACACTTAAATTTGCTTTTTTGTTTTAGGCAATCATCTGTCAACATTTAGTAACGGAGCAAAAATGAAACATTGATGTCCTTTTTTACATTGTGTTGCACCATAATTCTTAATTGAAGAAACAATTAAAATGTTCAGAACATAATTTTTATCAGCAAAATTGCATTCATTCGTCTCTTTAATTTTAAATGGATTATTACATTCCTTAAAAACCTTTCAGATTACAATTAAACCTGTAAAATGACTACTTCTGTAATAAAAAGTACTTTATAATATGCATTACTTAATCAAGTAATGCTCTTACATTTTGAGTGTATTTTGTGCAATGTGCTATGAACATCTTTAAATGGCTGCGTCTTTGAATCACAATGTTGAACATGTGGTTCAACATGCTCTGATAATCACGAGAAAGAGCAGGGAACCTGGATTAGAATATAGCTTCAATGGGTAGTTGACAATTGCACACAATATTCTGAATGGTCTTCTGTGGTATATATCTATTATTAGATAGTATAGATGCATTTAAGAGAACACTAGATATGAGTGAGAAGGGAATAAAGGCGTATGGGATGGAGTAAGAAGTGGGTAGATGCTCAATGTGGAATATAAATATCAGTACAGATGAGTACTGAATGGCCTGTTTTTGTGCTGTACAGTATGTAAATCTATGCAAAATTTCCAGATAATGATAGCAAGGAAAATTGCTATCAAATTCCTAATAAAAAACATTGATTTCTATGGATATCATTTTTTGCAGATTCATGCTAAACCATGATTTAATTTGCCTCCAAATATTAGACATGTATGCACATCAATGATTAGTTTTCCTCTGATCTTTTGCCACATGAAACATTGAATTCATCTCTCAATTTATACATTTAAAATCAGGTCAGAAGCAGACAAAGCCTTATTCCAAAAAAAACAATTTATTTTAACATTTCAGATTCTTCTAAACTTTCAGAGAAATATCTTTTACTTTTTCACTTGATTGTGCTAATTAATCAAAAATGGATGAGGTTAAAGCTAATTAGTTGAAAGTACATAATATCCAAGTACATTACACAGTAATCTACTCCAATTAGTATTGGCAGGTAGTCCATGACCTCAACAATGAAAATACCATTAGAAAGCCATCATATTTGCAGAAATATTACCAATTTTACAAAACCATAATTTGAGACTATTTTAATTACTAAAACTAATATAATTAATCAATTTTAATCATTAAAGTTCTGCATAGAATTTTCAAAGAAAAATTCTAGTGTTCATGCTTCCCAACAGTTGGATGATAAAGTTTTGACTGACTGTAAAACTGAGACAATAAGTCCCACCGTACACACATAAGACCTTTAACCTGTGCTGAGGTAAATACAAGGTGTCAGGTTGGCTCGGTTGGTAGCACTCTTGTCTCTGAGTCAGACGGTTTGGATTCAAGCCCCAAATTGGGAATTTGAGCTGACAGTCTTGACTAACACTGCTGGGATGTGCTGCATTGTCTGAGGTTTCACCTTTGGATGAGATGTTAAACTGACATCCTGTCTGCCTGCTCGGATGCACATTAAAGATCCCATAGCACAATTAAAAAAAAGAAGTTTCTCCAAATGTCCAGGTCAACAATCCTCCAGATAAAACAAATATTCACTTCACGGCTGTGTGTGGGATATTGCTGTACACAAACATCATGCTTGCTTACATAGTCATACTCACTGGAATTTGTAGAAAACTATGAAGCTCTCTGATGTGATAAGCATCATTAATTATTATCTAACAAAATGAGAACAGTCCATTGAAACATTCAAAGAACTAGTTAGATTCCTGATTCAACATGGAATGAAAGAAAATTAAAATGACATAATAATATGCTTAATAAGAGAGGAAGCTTCTGAGTGCAACAGCATTTCACTGGAGTCCATTTGAAAATAAATGTAAATTTTAATGCTGTTGAGATTTATTAATAGTTATGATTATAAAAGACAAATAATCCCTATTTAAATTTGAGAACAGATAAATAAGTGATAAAATTATGTGCTGACAAATCATGTTTTGAGAGAAAAAATATCAATGACTATAGCAATAGTTGTTTCCAGTAAAAAAANTCCTTTGTTTAATCAGACTCCTACATTAACTTTAATCTGTAGTGAAGTAGCATAATGGTTGAAAGCAAGCAGTTCTTTACTTCAGAAGAGTGCATTTCAAAATACCATCATTAAGTTATTATTTAGCTCTAGCTAAGAAGCTATCAAACTATCTAGCATACTAAAATATGCACACTGCTAACACAAGCCACAGCGCTGTGACGGGCTTCCTGAAGTGAGGGGTCAAATCGAAGCTACAATATCTTTCAGAGCGGGGTGGAGAAAAGAGGGGAGTTATGTCTTGATGGTAGAAGAACAAGCTGTAAGCCTATCTTGTCTCCAGGTCTCAAACCAGATAGATAAAGTGGATCTAAATACAAAAAATTTAAAACATACCCAAGTGCCTTCGTTTTCTTAAAACAAATGCACGTTGTTTCCACAATATACATAGACAGTATATATTTTGTAAAAGCTAAAACAGAAGATGCTGGAAATGTAGTGTCCAGAAGATCAATTTCAGTATTTCATTGAGAAAATCAGCATTGTACTGAAGGGTCACACAGAAAATGTTATCTCATCTTTCTTCTCAACTTGCTGACCCAATATCCATTTCCAGCATTTTAAGTTTTCATTCCATGCTTCCAGCATTCTATTTTTCTTTTGGTTTGTCACAAAGCTTTCAATATCTAAAACAGTTAATACAGAATCACAATGATGAATACAACTAAATAATGTTTTGCTAGAAAGGTTCACTGAATAAACCACTCTCCTATAATACTTGTATTCAAAGAATTATTACCAAAGTCCTTGGAGGATTGAGATTTTTGGTGTATTTAAAAAGGTCATTACATATTTTATGCTGCTTTTCTCCCTTAGGCTCAGATTTAGCACTCATTTACTTTTTCTAAATCTCTCACTTTGCCCTTATCAATGAGCTCCTGTAACTGTGGGATAAATTACTATACGTTATTATACCCTCCAGCAATATTCTGGAGTGTAGATTGCATGAAAACAACCTTACCCTTGTATTTTAGACCATTTGTATTTTCTGCAATGCAGTCTTCGCACATCCAGAAGACAATCGTCAGTGAATAATGCCTGACAGCAATAAAGCACTTTTGCCTCATCATGAAGCATTTTTTTAAAAAATGTATAATGTAAAAGATAAATTTTGCAAAATCATTGATGCAAATGCTATTTTGGCACTGTAAAACATGTTTTGGCTGATAACACAATATTTGGAAAATTGTTCCACCATTGGCAGCCATGCTTTCAGCCATTCACCAAATGCTGGTAGTTAATGTGTTGATTGAACTTAATTATTAAATTGTAAATTATTGTGTGTTCTCACCTCTTCCAACTCTTATGAACAAAACCAGAAAAAAGTTGAACACCTTCCTGGCATTCTGACTGTGTAAACAGCTTAAATTCCTATGATGCAAAGGTATAATAAAACAACTAAACTACTGCTCTGACAGTATTAAATATTCATGCCTAAGGAAACAGATAGACTCCAACAACAAAATTATGTCACCATTAAGGGAATAGTGCCATCTTAAAGCATTACCAACCTCATCTGTATTCCTCAGAATAACTACTCATCTCTACAAGATCAACAAAATATTTCACTGTGTTTCCTCAACAAATTGCATTATCACTGCCATTTGTGGCTCAAAAACAATTTAATAAGTTCCAGTTATCCTTTCAATTTCTTTAATTTCATGTACCCAACCCTACCCATTTTGAAGGTTACTTAATTCATCAAATCAGCTTATTAGATAGATTGATTCAAAAATGATGAGAACATCAGTCAGTCAACTTTTGAACTTAAAGATCAGAAATCAAAAGAAATCTTCTACATTTGATACCTGCTGTGTAGAATATTGCACCACACTATCGCAGAATATCATAGTGTAGTCTAGAGAATAATTTACAATTCTGAGACTTCATAAAAAGAGCGCACTGCAATTTTTTAAAAATACACTGACTTAAAAAGGTGATACCTTAAAAATTGCAATAATTACATGTTAAAGTGGAGTTTCATACAATCTTGTTCAACAAAAAAAAGGACTCAATTTTTCATGCAGTTATGTACACCTCAGAACTTGAAAGACCTATTAGTATTCACAATTTATATGACAAACATAAGCATTAAGATTGAATAATCCAAAACATTTTTGCCCTCAAATTATCAAGATGCCTGGTCATTTTTTTAAAAAAATTAAGACTGAGGTTTCAGAAACTTAAATGTTGAAAATGAATTGAAAATGATCAGACTAAATCTTTTAACTAGAAAATACTCTTTCTGCAAAGCAGAGAATCACTATATTAAGTTACTCGATTTAATCTACAATAACTCAGCAGGACACTTCATTCAAAATTATGCTGAAATCCTCAAGAAATTCACAAAGAGAAACTGAAATATGGGCAAAAATTTCCATATCAAGTCTGAATGGACTCATCAGTTCACTCACATACATTAAAATTATGAGCAAAATAATATAATAATCATAATAATAATCTTTGCATTTGATATAGCACTTTTTCACATCTTCTCGACGTCTCAAAGCGCTTCACAGAATAGACTGTAAGGTGAATTGACCGTACATTTGTGGGCGAATATTGCAGAATATTACAGGAGAAATGGACAAAAATAAGGAAAACTTGTGACATTGCTTTCAGGTTGTAAGTACTAAGGTTCTGAAAACTGTAAAAGAAAGTGTAAATAATGGACCGAGCATCCAATAATCAATACAATGGGATTTTGAGCTCAGTCTAAGCTGACATTCCAATGCACTGTCAGAGGTGCTGCGTTTCGGACGAAATGTTCAACCAAGATTCTGTCTGCGTATTCAGGTGCACATTAGGTGTGGCACTAGTCAAAAAGAAAATGGAGTTTCTCCTGGTATCCTGACCAAATACCCTCCAACTATATAATAATGGTCATATTCACGATTATTCATGGAACATTGTTGTTTGCTGAATGACCGCCACATTCACCTATAAATACACAATGACTACACTATGGTAAAATATCCTGTGAAGTGACTTATCACTGTGATTTGGTGTCACTGTGTCAGCTAACAACTTAGTTAGCCCAATAATCAACATTTCCCACAACCAATTTGCAGTGCTAAGGATTAAGTCTCTTATGCAAATGTCACTCAGACAAGCAGTAAGAAATATGTCTACTCTGAATAGCATAAAAAATAACTAACATCAGGGTAAAACCTGATAAAAATGAAACTGAATCTAGGGATTGCTTTTAATCTCAGGCTTTAAATGACAGTTATAAGATTTTTCTATTTTCTCTGAGAATGTATGCCGTCATCTGAATCCCTTATCATTCCCATGAACCCATTATTCCATTGTTTCCCCCACACAAAAGCACATCAGGCATATGACAAATACAGTCAAGCCTCAGCAATCACTCCTGGTTAACAACCATTCCCCAATGAAACCTTACTCAGGAGGCTACAGTTATAAAAAGGCCACTTTGACCCGCTGAGAGGCTGTTGAAGACAGGTTTGACTGTTATACACATTTTGTTAGTTTGCCTTGTCACAACTCTGCCTTGGAAAAAAATTCTAATTTGTGTTTAGAATACCTTCAGCTAGTCAAAAAGGACATTACAATTGAACTTCATACACTGCAGAATAGAATGGCCTGAATTTGTTACCGATTCATCAAATATGCACATTACTTTTTTCCCACTCATTTCATCTCTTAAGAATTCAAATGAGCACCTTCACCCATCTCCTAAAATATCCATTTTGGATATCTAATTTCAGCAACAGCAAGCTCCCAAATATATATGCTATCAAATTCCTACTTTAACTCAGCTTCAGTCATCTTACATGTATTTTTTCATTGTCACCTTGAATTACTTTCCTGTAATTTTTTATATTTGTTATAATTTGTTGTTGTTTTTACTAGACTACACATTCTCCAATATTTGGACTAAATGCTTAGTCTATTTTGTGATTCATGGATTCACCTTCACTTTGATCACGGCTCATGCAACATACTATAAATATGTTCCAGAAACTAATCTGACAAACATCAAGCAAAAGTTTGCTTTAATATAAGCTATTCAGAAGTTTGAAAAAATAAGACAGCATTACAACACAGAATCTCATATTACCACAAGACATCAAACACAATCTCATATATGCTCACCTTGGACCAGTTGACTCTTTTCATGGTAACTGCTGGCTTGTACTGCTTTTTAGCTTGGAGTCCATGTGGCAACACGACAGGAGCCCCAAAAGCAGGAGGTGCACCTCCAAATGGAGGTGGAGGAGGAATCCCCGGACCACAGAAAGGTGGTGGAGGAGGAGGAGGAGGTGGTGGCACACATCCCGGAGGTGGTGGTGGTGGGGGCGGAGGTGGAGGAATGCTTCCTGGAAGGGCGGTTGGAGGGGGTGGTGCTTGAGGAGGGGGTTGAGCTCCTTCTGTGAGCAGGGGAGGTGGGGGTACACCTGAACCAGCAGGAGCTGCTTTACACTGTAAAGAAAACGTTGACCAATTTTAAAAACTTTATACAGATGAATACAATGGTAATAATCTCAGTTACACAAATGAGCAGTAACATTATTTTTCATGTGGTTATGAATAAATCTCAACATATAAATCAAATGCTACTTTTGTAATCCCATGACAAACACACAATTCACACAAAAAGTTTTAATATATTTTGGCTTATCCAGCTGCCTTGTCGGTTACATTAGTTAATACGTAGGTAATCCTGGAAGCCCACAGTCAGATACATTGTTAAATGTAAATTATCTTTTTTTTAAAATGCATTTTGCAAACATTATTCCACCAATTGGAACTGTCGTACATCAAACATGCCTATGTTTATTCATGTTAGCTTTCATTGAACCAATAGTTGGAAAGAGTATTGTAGGTTTACAAACATTTTCAGAATGCAAAACTTTGACTTGAGAGCACTGAGTACCAAGTTCACACTTAGTATTATTTGCCAAGCTGGACTAAAAATTGGACTTCCGTCTGCCTGAATGGTTTCATAAGAACATAAGAATTAGGAGCAGGAGTAGGCCATTCGGCCCCTCGAGCCTGCCCCGCCATTCGATAAGATCATGGCTGATCTTCTGACCTAACTCTAATTACCTGCCCTATTCCCATATCCCCTAATCCCTCCATTTTTTAAAAATCGATCAGTCTCAGCCTTGAAAATGATCAAGGACTGAGCAACTACAGCCTTCTGGGGTAGTGAATTCCTTAAATTCACTTCCCTCTGAGTGAAGAAATGTTTCCTCAACTCTGCTCTAAAAGGCTGACCCTTAATTTTAAGACTGTGACCCCTGGTTATAGATTCTCCTACCAGGGGAAACAATCCCTCTGTGCCTACTTTATCCAGCCCTTTAAGAATCTTATATGTTTCAATAAGATCTCCCCTAATTCTTCTGTACTCTAGTGAATACAGCCCAAGTTTATTCAGCCTATCCTCATAGGTCAGTCCCCTCATCCCAGGAACTAACCGAGTGAATCTACACTGCACCCCGTCTAAGGCAAGTATGTCCTTTTTTAAATAAGGAGACCAAAACTGCACACAATACTCTAGGTGCGGTCTCACCAAGGCCCTATAAAGTTGCAGCAAGACTTCCCTACTCTTGTACTCTACACCTTTTGCAATGAACGCTGACATGCCGTTTGTCTTCTTAGTTGCTTGCTGCACCTGCAAACTAACTTTTTGAGACTGGTGTCATTGCAAAAGGTTTAGAGTACAAGAGTACAAGACACCCAAATCCCTCTGAACACTAACACTATCTAATCTCTCCCCTTCTAGAAAAGAATCTGTTTTTCTATTTTTGCTACCTAGGTGAATAACTTCACACTTCCCCACATTAAATTCCATCTGCCTTCAGTGAGTTTATCCATGGAACGATTGGGTTATACAGATTTGAGTACTTAGCTTTAATCTCAACTGAGGAAATGTAGCAAATTTACAATTGGCCTCAATTCTCTTGAGAATATTGCAGCATCCCTTAATCCCTATCCCACAGCTATGTTGGAGATGCACATTTGTGGATCCTGGATTGAAGGCACAATTGGGCTTGATTGCAATGACCCTTGTAGTTGAATAACCTCCATTCACTGCCAAAGATCATATAGAAATAAATGGCTACTAAGGCAAAATACTGGAAGCTAATCTTGCTTGTGAATTATACTACAGGCATAGGAATACAATAAAGTCACTTCATTATTAAAGCCTCGATCTGGAACTGTGGGATGAGATAACGAAGGTCACTAGTTAGGGACCAACCATACTAGTTGGTGATTTTAACTTACCCAAAATTGATTTGGATAATAATGCATCTACTGATAAGATAGGGAAGGGGTTTCTAGAGTTAAATGAAGACTATTTTATGACTCAGTTTCTAAAAGAGCTAACTAACAAGGAGAGATAATATCTTGGATTTGACAGTGAGCAACAGTGATGACCAAACTCCAACATAAAGGTGCGAGAAGCATTAAGCAACAATGATCTCAATGCAGTCACATTTGACATCACAAGAATTGGTGAGGTTAGAAAAACCCAAACAAAACTGACAAATATCAAGAGGTCTGACTGCGTTTGAGAAGTCCAGTCGGAGCGGGCCTGGCAGGCTGAAATATCGCACTGCGAGTGGAGGACATAAAGGACACCTTCAAGGAGGTGATTATGAAGGCAATGGGACAATGTTTACCCATGTGAAGCAAAGGTACCAAGCTTGAAGGCATTCCTGCCTGGTCAGACGGGGCTACAAAGCAAATCATGAAGAGGAAAAAAAGAGGCATTTAAAGCCATGAAGAATAAAGTGGGATTCAATACCAGAAGGCATGCCAGGACTGCCAAAAAGGCATCAAAATGGCAAAAAAAAGCTTTAAATTGAACATGGCAAGAAATGTGAAGGATAATTACAAAACAAAATTAGTTACATTAAGAGTAAAAGCAAAACAAGCAATAATAATAATAATAATCCTTCTATTTGATATAGCGCTTTACACATCGGGAGGACGTCCCAAAGCGCTTCACAGAACACACTGTAAAGTGAATTGACTGTAATTTTGTGGGAATAGAGTTCGGTGGGTTCTGGAGACAACATGACACAATAATGCTACACAGGCTGCAATAATACTAAATAATTTTTTTGCATTCAGTCTTTACCAAGGAGGAGACGGGTAACTTATCTGTTTAGAAAGAGAACTCAAGGATGTCATTATTCATATCACTACCAGCATGGTTGCCAGACAGCTGTGCAAATTTAAGGTAAATAAATCTTAGGGGCCGGATAAATTGCATCCGAGGATTCTTAAGGAACTAAGGGAGGAAGTCACAGAAACGCTAGCCCAAATCTTTCAAAAATCAGTTCTGGTCACCGTAGTATAAAAAGGATATTGGAGAAATCGAAAAGATATTGAGGAGGGCAACCAAAATGATTGAGGGAATGGAGGGACTGGACTATGAGGAGTGACTAAGTAAATTGGGCATGTTCACACTGGAAAAAAGATCGAGAGGTGACATGACTGCTGTCTTTAAGATCTTAAAGGGGTTAGACAATACAGAACATGACAGGCTGTTTCAACTTGTCCAGAATAGTAAAATCAGAGGACACAACCTGCGACTGAAGGAGGGTAAATTCAGAACGAATCTACACGAACACTATTTCAGTGAGCGAACAATGAACCTGTGGAACAGGCTCCCTTGGGAGACGGTTGAAACAAGAAGTGTTGATTCTTTCAAACACAGACTAGATAGTTTTCTTTTAGGAATATCTTTATGGGATATAGTACATAGGTAGTTCAGGACATACGTGCATGTGACCGCCAGGAAGGTGGAATGCAAACTAGATAGACCTTGGTCTTTTTTCATCTAGCATTTCTTATGATCTTATTGATTCAAGCAATGTTTTTTTTCTTTTGGAGTTATAATGTAACAATGGAACATGCTATGGATATTCAAAGCTGAAATTGGATTCTTTGTATAATGTCAAGAGGTAATATTGCTTTTGTTGTCAATTCTAATTCTCTCTATGTTGACTCCACTTCAAAATAAAGGAAAACGTTTGATGACACCCAATAGTTGAAAAGCAATTGTGTTCAAGAAAGAACACAAGGGTTTGGAAGGCTGTCGTACTATTTAGCAGTTTTCAGTTTTCTAATTGCTCTTGTTCAAACAGATTGCAATTAATTTGCATTCATATGCCTTCCTCCTTTACTTCCACACAATGCTTATTTTATTTAAACTATAATACTTCTAATCAAATACTTGAGGGAAGTTTCAACTGAAAGCAACTGAATATAATGTAGTGGATGATTCATTAACATTCTTTAAAGAATTTCCCAAGAGCATGTAAATTTGAAAATCTATCGACATCAGTTTTAGTGGCATGCATTGATAATTATTCCCAATCATGCCCACACATTTGAAGTGGAGGTCGACACTGGGAGTTAATTCTGCACTGTAATATAGTCTGCTTGTTACCAACATTACCAAACGTGTTCAAGGCTCCTAATTAGCATAACATACCTTAAAGCAAGTATGTCCATGCAAACTGTTTTTCTACCTACAGTAGAGCCTGGTTATATTGCGGTAATTGTGTGTGTGTGTGTCTGTCTGTCTGTCTGTATGTATGTGTGCCCATAAAATCCCAACCAGCCTTATAATGAGGTGTGATAGCAGTCAGCACATCTAAAAGTCACCGATCACACGGCATCACTGACATGTGCACTTGCTGTATCTCCTGCTTCTTCCCCCTTCTCCCGTATTTTCCACCACCCATGTGAGATTTAGGCTTCAAAGATTCAGAATTTCTTGTTATTCCCCATAATATTCAAACCATTTCCATTCCAATATACTGCAGAGCAACCCAAAGTATGGACTTCGTAATAATACTAAAGAAAGGCTTACTGTGTGGTAAGGTAATTTTACACCCATGTAACATATTTCTGTCCTCCAGTTATTCATTGCAAAAAGATACAAAGTTGATATCTATTTCCACTACCTCAGCTTGTAGTTGATGGACTTGCAGTTCAAGCTCTTTTATTTTTTCTTCTCTCTTCTGAAGCTCGGTCTGTGCTTCCTGCCGAGCTGCAAACTCTTCATTAAACTGGAACAAAACATATCAACGAATTCTAGCAGCTGTATGTAACTTAATAATTTCTACACAATGGAAAAATAACCTGACATTACATTTGGCTAACCTGATATTCAAGTTAGAGAGTAGGGCATTTTCTTTTACTTATCAAGCATACCAGAGCACAACCCTCCCCCATCACCACCTCTTTTTAACAGTTCTTTACTGTACTAGCTTTCTGCCAGTATTGACATTGACATATAATTCCCCACCAAGCACTTCTCTGAATCGACATCTGGTTGTTTTCAGAAGATAACCCTTGTGGGGAAGGAGAGAAGAAATATATTGCAATTCAGAAACAAGGAACACAAACAGGAGGGTTTAAGATCAATGCAAGAAAGATGTGGTATAAAATTATCAACTTCATTCAAGGTGAATTCCAGCCAGAAATAATGGTGCTGTTAATAATGTGACCCAATCAAATTACGAGGATCTGGTGGGTGACTCAATTGGGTCACATTATTAGCAGTATCTTCTACCCAAAACTGACAAATTTACCATTTAAATTTAGCTATCAGGATGAACATGGTAAGTGAGCCCATTTGACTGTGCACCAAATAATTGGATCAGACATAAGCATCTCTAAAGCTAAAATATAGCACTTACAATACTGGAAGTACTCCACTCTATTATTTATGCTGCAAAAACTTAACATTCGCACATTAACAAAAAAAATGCAATATTTTTCAAAAAATTGCAGCTCTTTCCTCTATCTACACAGCCAGAGATTCATTATTTTCCCCACAGCCCTCTCCTATTAGTATCATGTAGTCCAACAATGTATAGTTAGATTTCAGCGATTATTTTCCTTCTCAAATCTCATTATTTTGCAATTGGCCACATTAAATGACATTTCGACACTTTGCAGCCCAACCGACTGATCTATGCAGAAACATCTGTATTTAGTCATCCTGGTTCTCCTTCCAAGAAAATAATTTTGGTTTGCTTTCCCAATTTTAATCATCAATGTTCAGTGTAAATAACACCAGTCCTAGCACTGCTCCCTGAGGCACCTCACTAATTATTTCCTTCCATGCCAATGTGAAACTACTCACTGCTTCCTATAATCTAGCCAATTTCATGCCACTTCAGAAGATCCCAAGCTTGTAGAACAATGTTTGTGGCACTTGTGTCAAAAGCTTTGCTAAAATCTAAATATGAGTCCATGGAGTTTTTTGCTTTTCACAAATTGCTATTTCTTCAAATAACTCAAATGTTGTCATGCACAATCTTCTACCCATAATACCAAGCTGATTTCTTCTTATAATTCTGTACATGGTTTATTTTTCTTCCAACATGGAAGTCGCTACACAAATTAATTTGTTGTTCTGTTCTCTCATTTAGATTGTCTTTTTATCAATGCATCAGCCAAAATATTTTAATGCTCTGAGATAAAGTGCAAGTATTTATTAAGATACATTCTCATTACTAAACAACAACTTGCATTTATGTAGCTACTTTCACAACGGATGGCGTCTTGAAGCACTTCTCCACGTATAAACAACTTGCTTAAGAGTTGATAAAATTGTTTCATTACTTTGACTTGGTTTTCTAATTACAGTAATCCCTGCTAAACAACTCAGTACCAAACAGTCCAAAGAACATGTACAGTTTGAAGCTCTTGCATCTTTAAATTAAACTTAATTTCAATAAAGATCAGGGCCCAACATTATTGTAATAAAAATTATTTCAAATTAAAATGTGTTGCAGTCATTGAGTTTAACAGAAAAAAATATTCTGTGGTTGTTCCTTTCCAGTCTATGATTGCTCATCTCTAATTGAAGGCATCCTGGAGTGTGTTAAATATCACTCAGTTGATTCTGAAAAAACATATTAGAATGCAGGAAGTTGTTCTTTGTAATGCGACATTTTGTAATGAAGTAAACCCACCACATATTGATTAGAGAATATCAATATGCTGTGAACTTGAAACAAAGTTTCTTCTCTCTCTTGTCTCCCAAAATAAACAATTACCCCACCAATTCTCTTTTAGTTCAGGTTGTTTTTTGTGGTCTTACCTTTTTGGAAAATTCTAATGCCTTTTGTTCACTTTCTTCAACTTTAAATTTATCAACACAATGATCTGTCAAGAAATTAAAATTAATTATTTACTCTTAGTTTCACCACATATCAAAACTGCAAACAAGGATTATATTGAGTTTGCCTCCATTGCAATAACAATATTCCACTGTAAGTCAATATTTGTTCCACATTAAAATTGTTAGAATATTTACAACAAACAACCAGGTTGGTACAATCCTAAAAGGGGTGAAAGAACAGAGAGACCTGGGGGTTCATATAAGTAAATCTTTGAAGGTGACAGAACAGATAGATAAAGCTGTTCATAGAATCATAGAACTATACAGCACAGGAGCCATTCATCCCATCGTGTCTGTACCGGCTCTTTGAAAAGAGTTACACAAGTCAATAGCTGTTAAAAAAGCATACGGGATACTAGGCTTTACAAATAGGGGAATAGAATACAAAAGTCAGTAAGTTATGATGAACCTTTACAATACACTGGTTAGGCCTCAGTTAGAGTACTATGTTCAGTTCTGGGCACCACACTTTAGAAAGGATATCAATGCATTGGAGAGGGTGCAAAGGAGGTTTACCAGGATGTTACCAGGAATGAGGAACTTCAGTTATCAGGAGAGGTGAGAGAAGCTGGGATTATTTTCTCCTTGAGCAGAGAAGGTTAAGAGGAGACTTTATAGGAGTTTTCAAAATTATAAGGGGATTCAATAGGGTGAACAAAGAGAAACTATTTCCACTGGCGGGTAGGTTGGTAACCCAAGGACACTGATTTAAAATAGTTGTTAAAAGAAACAGGAGCGGTGAGGAGAATTTTTTCACACAGCAAATTGTTTGGATCTGGAATGCATTGCCTGAAAGGCTGGTAACAACTTTTAAGAGAGCAGATAATTATTTGGGGAAGACAAGTTTGCAGGGCTATGGGGAGAGAGCAATGGAGTGGGATTGATTTGGATAGTTCTTTTCAAAGAGTCGGCACAGACACGATGGGCCGAATGGCCTCCTTCTGTGCTGTATAATTTTATGAAACCATAGCACTCTGAATATCTGAACTGATATGCAGATTCTCTCCGACTTATAATTCTCTCGTGGCAAAGCACGCTCAAACATAAAAGGAATATGCAGTGATACAACAGAAAAAAATCATGTTGTAAACACCCTCAGTCTACGAAGGCTGCAGTCTGCATTCTCCGTAATGTCATTATTGAACTTTGTGAGGAATCTGCAGGATTTCTCCCAACTTCTGCACACATACAAAAATATTAGCATTTTCTTAATCACTTTAAAAATTAACCTGTCAAATTAATTTATAAAATGTGTGCTTATGCACAGCTTTGCTAAATATGAATTTCAACAACACTGCAATAAATTATCAGGCTTTCAGCAAGCTACCAGATAAAACTTTTGCTGACCCACATGTCAATGGAATTGGAGAATCATCATGCATCGTTACTTTGCCATTACTTCTCCATCTTGTGAAGATTTCAATGGAATATCTGTCTGACCCAGCATTTGCTCTGCAGCTATATTATACTATTGGTTTGCAATTACTAATAACAATATAAAGTTGGTAAGTACTGCTACATTAATTTATCCAATGCAATAGGCCCTGCAGGATGGAATAAATAATGGATTTATGTGGTGATGAAAAATAATAATACAAACTAGATGCAGGCTTTCAAGGTTGGAAATAATTAGTGGTGGATACATTTTCTAACTGGTGAAATTTACCAAAGCTTTGTTCCTTGAATTCAAACTTTTTTCTTTAACTTCCTCAGGTGACAAGAATTCCACTGAGGTTATACAAGCTAATTATATTTGTGATTAAGTAGTCTATTCATTATTGAAACAAATAATCGAAGATTCAGAGCGGAAACTCAACAAAATATTGTTATGTGCAAGTTATGCAGCATGGTTAAGAGGGAAGGATTACAAGTAAATATTGGCAGAAAATGTGCAGTTATGTCAAATCAGCTAATTACTGGAACTGCATCAACGGTCTTGTGTTTTTCAATCGGGAATCAGATTAGTTCAAATATGCATGATATTCCCATGCATTGTGGGGTCCTGTAGCTCAGTGGTTAGAGCACTCGCTTTGCAAGCGAGAGACCTGAGTTCAATTCCAGGCAGGTCAGGGCGAAACCTTAGGCAAGTTTCCTTACTCCACACAGTGCCTAATAATAATCCCTCCAAAACCAAAAACAATAATAAATTTTCAGTCTACGACTGTTTGTGGGACATTGCTGTGCGCTATTGGCTGCCGCGTTCGCCCACAAATATACAGTCAATTCACTTTACAGTGTGTTCTGTGAAGCGCTTTGGGACATCCTCCCGACGTGAAAAGCGCTATATCAAATGCAAGGATTATTATTATTATTATTATGCCAGGACAATATTGTCTGAATCAATGGGAAGAGTTTTTTTCTACTGCTTAAATTGCTTCATCGGTTAATAGATTCCACATCATTAACAAATTCAGAATTCAGATATGTTTTATAATAGTATTAGAAACTTACCACAATCATTGCAGAGATGTAATAGAAAACAATTATTGTAAAAATTTGGTTAGAAACTATCAAATCAATTATTGCAGAAAATTATTCTGAGCATCAAACAATACTCAAATCAATATTTTAATTGTTTAAAACAGGAGAGCACATCCAATACATACCTATAAGGTGACTGAAATCCACATCTAATCGTTTACGATATCTAAAGTCTGGATCTGTCCCATTTCGATGCAACACTACCTGAGAAACGCATTCTTCAATTATCTTGTAGTACTGGGGTCTGAATGCATTAAAAACAAGAAATCAGTCATAAAAATGTACACCAAACAATATGTCTCTCAGAAATACTCCAATAATTATGCAATTGATTGCATTAATTTGATATTCGTGTCAATTTTATTTGATCAACTACGAGAAAGGTATTGCATGTTGAGTATTGCATACACAACATTTCACTAAATAAGCAATTGTTTGCCTTCAGGTTCATCAATTAGTCCAGCTTACAGAGGGAGCAAAGACAAAAAGGTGGCAAAAGGGCAAAAAAAGGCAAAATGTAAAAAGTACTGTTCTGTAGTTCTGTAGAATACAGAAATTAAATGCTGCATACTGAAATAGCCTGGCTTCTGGAGTGGGTCAGCAGCTTCCCACACTAGAAAGTGGCTTCCAACCAAGTTGCTGGGTTACTGCTCATATCACTTCTAGCAAAGGAAGTGACTTCAACGGAGAATAACATGTATGCGGATTGTGCACAAAGGAACCTCAAACAGCACAGAAAATGCAGGGTCTCCCTGTACATAATGTGACAAAACCAAAAGGAAACAGAAATAACAAAATAAAGCAGAGTAATGCTGAACCACAAAGCACACAGGACAGAAATACTTATTGTCGGTCGTTCAAGGTTACTGAACTCTCTCTCGGGCTAATGCCAAAGAACCTTAAGCACAAATATACATTTTATAACCAACATGTTGATGTACTCTACTCCAATTATGTAGGCTATTATATCTCTGAGCCTGGTTCAAACACAAATTACTGGAGTACATGAATCATACATTAGAATCAGCTCTGTAATTTTCCTCACTTTTCCTATGATGTAATAATTCATGGAACACAAATTTCAGAAAGAGTGTTCGTAATTGCTTCTTGGTTATAAATGATATTGCCTTTTCCATTAGCGGAAATTGATGCACAAAATAACCTTACATTTTAAATGAACCATAATACACTGAACAATTGTGAGACAGTATCTGCATTTCTGAACAATTCTAAATGTCTTCAGCCTTCAAAGATTTATTATTGAAGCCATAGTCAGATGCTCTATCTTTTCAATTATAAAGCATCAAACCTCATTTTTTACAAACATATTTTAATTCTGCATGTAGTGTAATATATTGGCAAAATGGCAATTAGGATTTTGCATTCTCTCCTTTAGTAATCGCTTGTCAACAATAAATTATATTCGCAATAATTTTAGCAAACTACATATTGTAACCAACTTCAGCATTGATAACCTCATTAGTTGGATTGCCTTCCTCCAAAACAATTCTTACAACTTTGTTCCTTGATTGTTTAAAAAAGGAACAATTCTGACACTACATTGGCATTCAAAATGAAGAAAAATTTTGTTGTTAGTGACCTCTCACCTGATATAATAATCATTCCTGATGAGTAGTAGGTGTTGCAAGATCGAAAGCAAGTAATTTTCTGCAGCAGTATCCTTTACCATATTCGACAGCAAATGGTAAACCTCATTTATATCAGTACAAATCAAATTAAGGACTCAAATATACAATACAAGGTGCTCAAAATGTGTCTAGGAATTATTATTATTTTTGTTCTACATATTATAATTTGAAATGACAATACGTCTGATTAATATGTGAAAAGGTTTATTTGTAAATTAAAGTTTTAATTTGTGAAGTCCAGAACTCCTCAAAGATTTCCAGACTTAAAGTATATCATTTGAGAATACAGATTCTTAATATCTAACTGTCATACATTTCTAAACATATTATACCTATACTGTTTATATCTTAGTTATTGAGTAATTTATATTAAAGAAGACTGTGGTAGAACTGTGGGTTTATTTTAATCTTGTTTAAAATGGTCCTGTGTGACCGCTCTCAGAATACCTGATACATTGAATCATCTTCTTTCCTCCAAACCCTCCGAGACAGAGGACACTGAGCAGTATTCCAATTGTTGAAGTATGCACTGTAACTGGAGCAATACATCAACAGGAGGAAGAATATGGTGTCTTTTTAATTTACAGGAAGATTAACAGATGATGTGTTACAAAAAATAATAGTGAAAGTAGGTTATTTTAGAAGTATGATATATTGATCATTTGTGATGCATAGAAGCCTGTGCTTCAAAGACCATTTCTGGTACGATAAATAGCATATAAAATATCTTGTGGCAAATTCAAATAATCCTTGCATTTGCATTTTTGAAGCAGAGGAAACGTTTTAAGAATAGTTGAATTTATAGAACAAGGCAACAATAATTAGTATCTGAGTTCCCATGGTCAGTGTATTTTGAAATAAAATAAGCCGGCACAGACACGATGGGCCGAATTGCCTCCTTCTGTGCTGTATAATTCTGTGATAGAGGTGGCTAAAGTGGGAATATTTTCCATTTTTAAACAAATTGTGCTCATCTGGAGGAGATACAGTTGCAACTCATAACGGAGAGTTAGCACCATCGAATCATTACATTTTCTGAGCAACCTTTTTTAATTAGAAAACCTTACATCAAGGAATTAGTGTCAGATAAAGATAGGTAGATTCTCTTTCTTTTCTGCAACAAAGGTAAAAGCCTTAAGAGCAATACTAAGTATAACCATTTTTCTTTGATAAATAAATTAAACCAGATAGCTGGGATAATGTTTTTGATAGGTTTCCTGCTTTATCCATATGTACCTAAATGCAAGTTATAAGCAATGCATCATCCATTGCTGACATCTCATACCTGCCAACATAATTAAATAAAAAAAACAGACTATATCAAATCATCACATGGAAAATAAAGACCTCAGGGATTATTTGATAGATTCATTTCTTCATTAAGTTAAAAACCTTTTTTATAAAAAAGCAACTTATAAACTCCTGTTAAACACAACCAAGGCTGTCAGGTACACTAACTCAATAGGCTTAACGAGAGCAAAGCTTCACTCATCCCATATTTAAAACCGTAATAATTAAGTAAATTTAACCACATACGAGTTCCCATGGTCAGTGTATTTTCAATAAAGTAAACTACAGTAGTATATTAACATAATGATGGTTTTCTAGTTTGATTAGTCTGACACAAGATAGCTGTGAATAATTTTAAAAAGATTCTGAAAAGGATATTCCATCTCTGATCGGATGTCCTCTAAACGATGTGATATCTCAATGAAATCTTCCTCCTTGTTTTCATCAAACACTTTCAATTGGATATCAAGCTCTTCATTCTCTTTCTCTTTCAACACCTATTTACAAAACAAATCTATTTTAACCTAAGAAATTTATTAGAAAACAGAAGGGTTCAATCCATCTCAGTCAAAGACTAGGGCAACATTAATGCTGCAACTGCATGAACATGATTTATATTGAGGTAGTTTTCTTTGGTTTCTGCTTACGATGTCTCATCAAAACTTAATGTATCATTAATAACTTGTTAAAACAAATAACCAAATATTTTCCTGATTATTTGATATTGATATTGAGCACAAACAGAAAGGCAAATAAACAGTTAAAATTTGTAGTTAAAGTACTGCTTGAACGATGATTTAATCTCTCCTAAACATAAGGTACTTTATTCATGATGTTATTGTTACACAAGCAGTGAGCAAAAAGGATAATGAATTGTTCAAATATTCTGTTAAATATTAACAGCCTGTTCCAGAATTGTTGCTTTGAATGACAATAATTATATTCAATCCATATAATTAATTATGTATTACAATTTCTATGTAATAGAAAATTAAATAAAATTTAAATTTCCTTAAATATAGTAATGATGAACAATATAATAACCGTATTAAGTATGTCAAACAGTTTTTGATCCGTTAAGAACAAAAACAAATATATCCCCTCTTTTCCACACCCACTGCTTTCCAAAGAAAGATGAAAGTTACCGAAACAGGCTGCAGAATTAATCAACTTCAAATGACTAAATTGTGATGGTTCATAAAAATTCTTGACCAATTGTTCAGGAAAGAATTTGTGAAAAAAAACACTTACAATCAAATGAATTGTATTAGTATTTATTTCAGCATCGAGATAGCTGAACCTGATTCAAACTCATCTAGTTATTCAGTTTTCAAGTATTTCTTTGTTCTCCTATCAACTCTCTTCCCATCAACAAGGGTTTAATTTTCTCTCTGTATTTCTAATTATTTTGAATTAATCTCAAGACATACCTTTTGGTCTTCTTTCCCCTTCCCAACCAATACTTGGTTGCCCAATCAGCAGGGTCAAGCTCCTTGGAAAGTCCTCCCTATATGAAAGTATGCTCAAGCACTTTGGGACATCATTCCAATGTGAAAGGCACAATATAAATGTAAATTTGTATTGTATTTGCCTTGTTTTTTGTTTTTCTCTTCTCCATTAAATGAGAGTCAATTTCCTGCATTTGAATAGCATCTGTTATACCCCATTTTTTTNCCTGAACTGAAGCAAAATTCTCAGTGCCTACTGACAGGGTTCTTGCACTGCATTTCATTGTTCCCCAAAACATTCCCCTCGTCCTTTTGAGAAATCATTCTACTGTTAGCCTTAGTCAACTCACACCTATTCTTCTGCACTTCAATTATCACCAAATATTAGCCTTGTTACATTATTAGCAGTAGAGAAGGTTGGTTCATGAATATTGACTGTAGTATATAAATATTTTGGTATCATGATGAAATATTCAAAGGCTAATTCATGTTATTTTGTACTACGAAGTTAACAACAAGATAGGCATACAGATATTTAATTTTTTTTAAAAGAATACAGTCTTAATACACTTCTTACAGGTAATATTTTCTTCAGTCCACAACGCAAGAATTCATTCCTCAAGTGTATCCTGAAATCCAGATCATCTGGTGATGTGACCAGAGCATTAATTAACTGCATACAGGCAACCTGAAAAAAGAAATGTACATTTTTAATGTTAGATGGATACCAATTCAAGCAATATTGTGTTCTATACATAGACTTTTTGATGGAATCAGTACGAATGTTAATCCAGGGGTTGACAATGCCAGTCAGGTTTCTCAGGTCTTTCACTTAACAAAATTATAGGATTTCAAATATAGCCATTAAACAAAATCTACAAAAAGGGTACTGAATTATAACGTCTGTGTTTCATCCCAGCGCAATATGAAAATTGTTTAAGTATCAGCTTCAAAGAGCAATACGTTTAAAGATATAAAACGTAATTCCCAGCGATCACATATTCCCTTGAAAAATAAATAACATGGAAAAAGTGGTTCAACCTTGGCTAACTAGAGAAGTTAGGGAAAGTATAAAATTAAAAGAAGAGGCCTGTAATACTGCCAAGAAGAACAGTAAACCTGAGGATTGGGAGGGCTTTAGAGTATAGCAAAGGAAAACCAAGAAACTGATTAAGAGGGAGAAAATGGAATATGAGGGTAAACTAGCTAGGAACATAAAGACAAATTGTAAGAGTTTTTACAAGTACATAATGAGGAAGAGACTATCAAAAGTGAATGTGGGTCCATTGCAGGCAGAGACCAGAGAAATTATAATCGGGAAAAAAGAAATGGCAGTGTCAGTAAACAAATATTTTGCTTCTGTCTTCAGAAAATAAAGGGGAACCTGGAGGCTAATGTTAGTGAGGAACTTAAAAGAAATGAACATCAGTAAAGCAATAGTACTAGAGAAATTGATAGGATTAAAAAACGATAAATCCCCTGGACCTGATGGCCTGCATCCCAGGGTATTAAGAGGTAGCTGCAGAGATAATGGATGCTTTGTTTTTGATCTTCCAAAATTCCCTAGATTCCTGAATGCTTCCCAGTGATTGGAAGGTCACAAAGATAACGCCGATTTTTAAGAAGGGTAGGAGACAAAAAAAGACCAGTTAGTCTGACATCGGTGGTAGGGAAAGTTCTAGAGTCCTTAATTAGAGACGTTGTCGTGGGGTACTTAGAAAATCATAACATGATTAGGCAATCAACATGGCTTTATGAAAGGGAAATCATGTTTAACAAATCTTATAGAGTTTTTTGAGGATGTAACTAGCAGGTTAGATAGGGGGATTTAGGTCTCCTTATTTAAGAAAAGACATACTCGCCTAAGAGGGGGTGGAGCGTAGATTCACTAGGTTAGTTCCTGGGATGAGGGGGTTGACCTATGAGGAAAGGTTGAGTAAACTAAGCCTATATTCTCTAGAATATAGACGAATTAGAGGTGATCTTATAGAAACCTATAAGATTCTTAAGGGTCTTGACAGGGTAGATGCCGTGAGACTGTTTCCCCTGGTTGTAGAATCTAAAACTAGGGGTCATAGTCTCAAGATTAAGGGTCAGCTTTTTCGAACTGAGTTGAGGAAACATTTCTTCACTCAGAGGGTAGTGAATTTGTGGAATTCTCTACCCCAGAAGGCTGTAGATAATCAGTCCTTGAACATATGCAAGACTGAAGTTGATAGATTTCTAAAGGGTAGAGGGATTAAGGGATATGGGGATAGGGCGGGTAAATGGAATTAGGTTAGAAGATCAGCCATGATCTTATTAAACAGCAGAGCAGGCTCGAGGGGCCGAATGGCCTACTCCTGCTCCTACATCTTATAGTCGTATAATACCCAATTGTCTTAAAGGCAGGATATTCAGCCAAAGCAAAGCAGAATTTCACAAGCTGGGTTTCAAAATGATAAAATACAAAACAGAACTGTGAAGCATAAATGAAAGATAGTAAAAAATTGCAGGTAATTTTAAATGATGTGCAAAGTCCAAAAAAATGCAGAGGATAATTAATGGCAAGGAGCTAAATGGGCAGTAGTACAGCAAATGAGCAGCAGAAGCAGAAGTTCATTTAATACAGTATGATTTGCATATTGTAAGGAAAGAATTAACATAAAATGGTTTTCTTTATTTAGCCTAAAAGAGTTAGAGTTCCTTAGGAGCGTGTATGTGCATGTGTGAATATAACCACAAAAGTAAAGTATTTAGTTATGGTCTATAAAATGGAAGTGAGCATTATATTCACAGTTGAACTTTTTCATATTTTGTAGGAAGTACATGATTACCCATCCAGTACAAGACGTTTCCGGCTTAACATGTTTCACGCTGAAACTGTAACAGTGTTTCACATTTAACTACCTTGTGTAAAGAAATGCTTTCTTGCTTTGACCTAAACTAAAATCAGCCTTGGTCATATCCTGTCAAGGTTTCTAGAGAATACAATGTGTTAACTCCAAGTAAATATACCTGCTATATACCATGTACTAGCACATGAGAATTACAGATGTCTTAAATTATTTCATAAACTGCTCGCTAACTGTGTAATTAGAAAATCAATCCTTTTCATTCATGGTTTTCCATTGGCCTTTCTTTTTATGTACAAATGTTTGTATTGTTATTCTTTATGTTGACTGTTAGGTTTATGCACTTGACTCTTAGCCTTTCAAATCCTGCTTTGCTTCCTGTCAAAACATTCTACATTTTTCATAAAAATATTAAAATTATAGGCTTTTTAAGAGCATTATTATAACCCTTAAAGGGAAAAATGTTAAAAGAAAATGCTCTTGTTGTCCATTTCCTCTTCTGCCATTTCTGGAAATCTGATTTCTAACTTGGGAAGCACTCTCACTCTCCTTTTATTCTTGTAAAACAATAACTATTAGGATAAGGATCCTAATAAAATAATCTAAAACTTTCTGTCCACCAAAACCTGTGTTGTTTCAACACATCTTTCAGATGAATACAAATGTTTAAAGATTAATAACTGGGTTTATAAGTAACTAGCACCTATTATGGAAAGATGATGGTCAAAGTGTTTTACTAACTATCAAATGGTGAAATAGCACATTATTGAAAGCAACAAGACCAAGGAGTACAGCCAAGGAGTAATAAAGAGCATTTTCAGTGGCAAATTGGGAAGTAGCTAAATTCCTTCAAGGAATTAACTAAATTAATGGAGAGTAATTCAGTGGATAGAATTTATTTGTCCTTAAAGAGACATATGATAAAATTTCACATGTGAGATTGTTAAACAATGATCAAGCTGATTGCATTCATACAAAATTAGCTGGCGAGAATGAACATTAGAATAGCTGGAGGAAACAGAGGTGATGATTATAGAATAAGTTCTATCTGGCTTACAGTGAGTACCAGAGCTCTAGATGGATCTCATCCATTTCCCTTGCTGCTCATTTGATTTATAAACTACATGGAGGAAAGCATGTTTTACAATACAAAATGTGCTAATGATATCAAACTATAAAACTAGACGAATAGAGTGGAACTCTTTTGCAATGGGACTGATAAAATCCAAGTGTGGCACTACAACATGTCACCATCTCTAGTCAACACTTCCAAGTGCACCATACAGTTGGTTATGTCCCGATGACCTTGAAATCAACCAATTTTTTGCAATACAAGGTTGATAAATAGCATTCAAGGAAATCTGGACCAAGTAAACTGAAGGACTTTGAGTTGTTGGCCAATATATACTACTTTATATTTATAGAACAAAGAGCAATCCACGAGCAAAGGCAGAGAAAGAAAAGGTTTTGGATGTCATAATTGATCATTCACTGAAAGTCTTGAATCAATTTTTCAGGTCCAAGACAAGCCATACTAAATGATTCTTGTCTAGGTCATTGATGAGGCCGCATTTGAAACAGTGTATGCAGCTTTAAAGAGACTGAAGCATTGGAGAGGGTTTAGATTAGACAAACAATGACTTTGCTCAAAATTATAGCTGAAAGGGGAAAAGATTGCATAGGATTTTGATTGAAAAAAGACTGAGGGCGAACATAATTCAGCTCCATAAAATGTGAGGTATAGGCGATGTAAGCAGACTATTTGAGAGAGAACTTTGGAGCATACTTAAAGCATAACTTCCTTCAATTTGGAAAGATAAATATTCTGCAGGTTTTGCTCGATTACCTTTAGATCACAGGGAGTACCAGCTTAATTCCCATGATTTGTAAGAATTCTAAAGTCAAATAGCCAGCTGATTGAAAACTGCTTTGGCAAAAGAAAGCAGGTGTGATACGTAGAATCAATGCTATTGGGAAAGTGAGTTCTGTCGGGAGAGTGAGTTCTGCAAAGGATCTATCATAATTTTCATGTTTATGTTGTACATAAATACTTAAGTGAGTCCTTTTAAATATTATATAAACTGCAGACAATCCCAAGATATGGCCAGCTGACTTGTGTAAAGGAGATTGATAAGATTCAGAAAGATATGGGCAATCTAAGTAGATGAAACACAGACAGTTGGATTTTTCAAATGCATAAATCAAAGGTATTGTATACTGTGACATGAAATACAAAATATATGTATAAGAAAAATAGATGCCTAATAGCAATTATAGGAAACAAAAACATTTAAATGTAATTATTGGTTATTCATCAAAAGTATCGAGTTCTGTGAATCTGCTGTCAACAAAATTCACCAGTACTGAAATGTACTTCAGGATATTGGATTCTATAACTACTAAATTTAGAATGTCTGTGAAAAGTTAAGCACCAAATTTTTAAAAAAACACAATGTATTGCAGACTGTTCAAGGAATAGCAAAATATGATGCCTGCACTACAAGGACAATAGATGAGTCATCCTTGAAATGTAACTGGAAAGAATTGAACAGTGTGGGTGTAAGATTGAATTAATATCATGGAGTTTTGATCAATTACCTTTTTGAGTTTTGAAAATCAGAGCTCTATTTTCTTGGAGGTGTTACGTGTGGTTACACCTTACCTCTGAAGATTGATTGACCTAGGCAGTTTCTATGACATCGCAAAATAATTTGATGGGCATAATGTCTTTCTTCCACATATTTTGGATTGCATTTGAACAGTAATGTGACTCAAGAACCAAAATATGATATCAGTAAATGAAAAAAGTTTGGTGAGGCAGAGGACATGGAACAGGCCTGAGATTTGATTGTTATCATATGAAATGTTACAATGAGATCTTGTCTGCCTAGCAAATAATCCTTCACATGAGTTCATCATTCACCTTGTAGCGATTTGAGAGATGTTGCCTACGAATATACACTTGACAGTACAGTAATTACTCGTGAGATGCTTCAAGACTTTGTGATACAAAAAGGCATAAGATTTCTTTCTCTCCCATTATCTATGTCATATTCCCTTGCCCAGCAGAGGCAAGTAACCAATATAATACTCTGCTAATCTGGTTATTGAATACTCATTGATGTGTGTGCAATAAAACTTGACATGCCGTCCAAGTTCGTATCATTCCAAAGAGAAGCACTCCATTGATGTGACCAATTTGAGATAGGAATTCACCATCATCGAAGCCATGGTGAATAATATGCATATTTTCATAGATCATTGATAAGGTCTTAAAGCAAACAGATTTTATAGGACGGATAATCCAATTGAATTTGGTTCTTTGTATCGGTTCACCACAGACCCAGAACTCATAATTTGAAATTATAACACTGCTTTGTTAATGTGGATGTCTGAAAATGGGAAATAAAATGATGTGATTAGTGGTGAAATTCAGTTCATAAATCTCAGAAGCATAGATGTCACTATCATTGCAAATCAAGTCAATTATCTATGCAAGCAGGGAGCTCAAATATTGCCAGTATTCTTACTGTTGATTAAACATGGTTGACAGGAGTCAACTCCGTTGGTACTCATGACCCCCATCCTCACCTCCGCCCTCCACTCCTCGTTTCCGACCCCCATCTTGGGTGCAAACCCTTCACTGTCTATCCTCTTGACGTGAAAGATGCTATTTAAAGCAATTTGTTGTTGATAAATTGGAAAAATACTGAAAAGTCATCAATGGGACCCAGAATAGGGAATCACTCAGGAACACAATTAGATGATCAATAACCAAATATTATTACGCATACATTTCGTAGATCATAAAAATATAAACTAAAGGCATGCTTTAGATCATCGGATATGTTCTATTGCTGTATGTGTGATGTAAAATGGATATTCGAAAATGTCTACAACAACAAGATTCCATTTATAGAGCGCCTTTCAACGTCGGGAGGACGTCCCAAGGCGCTGGACAGTTGGGTCAGGACCCAAGCAGGGGGGAAATGGTCAGGGTGAGGGGAGGGAAGAGAGGGAGCGAGGAGGGGGTAGAGAGTCAAGAGGGGAACTGAAGGCACGGTCAAAGAGAAAGGTCTTGAGACTGGCCTTGAAGGAGGAAAGGGAGGAAGCAAGGCAAAGGCACTGGGGGATGGAGTTCCAGAGCCTCGGGGCTGAGAGGCTGAAGGCCCGGCCACCTATGGTAGGGCGGTTGGGGCGGGGGATGTGGAGCAGACCGGAGCCAGAGGAACGGAGGGTACGGGCAGGTAGGTAGGGGGATAGTAGGTTGGAGAAGTAGGAGGGAGCAAGGCCGTGAATGGTGAGGATGAGGATCTTGAATTCGATCCTCTGGGGGATGGGGAGCCAGTGGAGGCGAGCGAGGGTGGGAGTGATGTGGTCGCGAAGCCTGGTGCGGGACAGTACACGAGCTGCAGAGTTCTGAATGACTTGCAGCTTGTGGAGGGAGGTGCCGGGAAGGCCGGCGAGGAGAGAGTTCCCATAGTCCAGCCTTGAGGTGATAAAGGCGTGGACCAGAGTTTCAGCAGCATGAGGGGTGAGGTAGTGCCATAGTCTGGCGATGTTTCGGAGGTGATGGAAGGCGGTGCCAGCTGTGGCGCGGATATGAGGAAGAAAGGACAGCTCAGGGTCGAACAGAACACCGCGGTTCCTGACTGGCCTTGAGAGGTGGAGAGTGCAGCCTTGGATGCTGATGCTGTCAGCGCCTGCTGTCTAAATCAGAGAGAGAGGGCAGTGGAGTACTGGAACACTGCGAGACTAATAGTGACACCATGATGGAAGTTTATTTTAGTCACTGCAGTCAATTTGTATTTCACATTATGTCCAATTGTCCACACCATTTGCCATTCGCCATGGAAATTTTCCCAATTAATCAGGTAACGTCTCTCTACCCTAAGGAGACAGTGGAAACAGAAAATGTCATTTGTTTCAAGAACAAATTCAATAGATTTCTGCTGGAAAATAATATCTCAGGATGCAGTATATAGTTTGGGACACAACATGTCAAGCGACTGCCAGGATGGTGGAAGGCGAACGAAATGGACTTTGGTCTTCTCTCACCTAACAAATTGTTGTGTTCTTAAGTATTTCATCTGAAATGTAATAAACCTTTACCTGCAATTGCAATGCTTCATGGTTGTCCAACCCTTCCACAATGAGTGCAAATCTTTCTCTGTTATTTTGCTCTGCAGCAGCAGTTATCGCTTCCAAGATTTTATCAAGGCTGAAAAATAGAGTGGGGGAAACTAGTAACAGGTTGGTATAATCAATCACTCTCTATTTTAATTCCCCTCTACCCACCTTTACATTTGAGGTAAATGTTTGCACTACACATTTGTGCCATCATACAGCAATATAGATCAACATTAGAAGTATTCTTATATGAACCAAGTCATTTACAATTCAATTCTGCAGCCATGATTAGCACAACATGACTCAGTGAACTAAAATGTAAATGATATAGATAATTAGCAAACAGTAAAATAGAGCATACTGAATAAAATTTGCAAGTTTACTACATTCATGTATTTGATAATTTAGGTAAAATGTTCTACCCGCTCTCCCCTGAGAAGACTTAAAACTGACGATAGATATATAACAAAGCACTAATAAAGAACTCCTATCTGTTCATAGTTGTCCGTTGTAGTACAAAAATATTGCACACATGCACGGCATTGTAGAATTTTGGAATGTACGTTTACTTACATCTTTTCTTCTCCAACAATACAAATTGCTGAGAGAACTTTGACAATTTCTGTCATCATGTTGGATTGCTTAGGATCAATTGCTCTTGCCAGCAGCAGAAGGCTCCTTTCATCTCCTAATATTCTTTGCAATCCAAACTAAAGGGAAAATATAAACAAAAAAAAGGTATCCTTCAAAATTCCTCCTGGCAAACTCTATTCCACCCATGAAATACATGCATCGTTTTTATTTTTGTATTTTACCACTCTAAGTTTGTAGACTTAACGGATGAGCATCCTCATGGGGTGGGGGGGGGTGGTGGCGGGAGGTAAAGGGGTCACCTCAGAGCTGAACTGGCTCATGGGTGACATGTTGATAACGGAATGTCAGAATTGAGCCAACCCTCTGTGGCGGTCTCGATAGTCAATAGGCCAGGCAGGTCTGCAGAACTCCAGGGCACTGCTGATGACAGCACAGCCAGCCTGCCTCATCGGCAGGACTTAGTAGGGCAGAACAGTCACTGGGAACAGGGACTCTTTGCACTCAGCTCCTGTTAACTCTGCAAACCAAATCCCTAATGGGTAAGGTGGTCCTACCTGGAGAAGCAGCGGGGAAGCTCACCAGGCAATGCTTTCAATGGCAAGCTATGTGGTCTTAGCTGGTGAGAATCCAGCAGTACTCCAACTCGCACTACAGGATGTCAAAAGCCTTGGTTGTTGCCAACTTGCGCCTAACACTTTCTGGAATTCTACCACAATGAGCCATTTCCAATCTGATGGGTTTCGTCATATTAACATTGCTCATACTGAAGCAGCTCCCTGTTATCCTTGTTTTCTCCCATTCTGTTATTTCCTAAACATGAATTTTATTCTCATTTATACCCAGTTTCATTTGTAGTGAGATTATTTCCAATAAAAAGTTTTTACTTAACTGCTTTCTTTTTTACTCCTGGCTCCCACTGTTAATTGTGTAGAATTGGGTTTATAAGAAGTTAGCACATTTTTAGTTGCAACAGTACTTGCAATTTGGTCGTTTTTAGTGAAGCTAACAAATGTTCAGTTTCCAGTCACACAGATGAAATTCCAAGTTGTGTATTACCAATCTCACTATCACAGAAAGTTTATAGCACAGGAGGAGAGAATTGGACCCAAAATGTCTAAAACAATTTGGCTGTTCCTTCACCATATTCTTATTAGTTTTCAGCAAGTATTTATCCAATTCTCTTTTAAATGCAGTTTTCATTGAGCTTCCATAGTCATTTTAGGTAAGGTATTCCTATTCTAACCATCCTCTGGTTGAAAACATTTCTTCTAACCAATGATCTCTTACACCATTTCCAGCTGTCATGAAATATACAGAATATACCTTGTTGTTCATAAATGCTTTGAGACACTGGATCATCTTATGTTGATTTCTTTTGTCAATGAGTTCTTGCCTGAAGTAAACGAAAAACAAGGTTACACGTACAAATATTTTTCTTACCCTCGAATTGCCAGCCTTTGTTTTCAAAATATAATTTTTTCTTTTTAATGAGACAGTTTTTAAGCAAAAAAGTAGCACATATTGGTTATAAATTTGACAATTGATTTATTTACGTCAGCCATATTGAATAGTACACAGAACAATGAATCTTACAGACGAAGTTGAAACATTAAGGTGATGAAGTGTTATGAAAGCATCATAAACTGTAAGAGCCCAGTATTTTATAACAGCAAAATCTAAACTTCAGTTTCAGCCTTCAACTTCCCTACCACCCCAGAAACATTGTGTAAGTAACTAAAACATATGAAGAGCAGGAAACAATCGAATGAATAGTACATGCCATTAATAGCCTTTCACGATGCCTTCACGATAGGCAGTCCACAAGGCACAATGTGTAAATTGTAGCATATAGATAGAAAAGCCGTATGATCCACAGCAAAATACAAGTAGGATTTGAAGGGGGATTGTCATTTATGAATCAATAGATCAAAAATATAGGGAGCGAAATTCCACTTCGATCTAGATTTTGGGGGCACACGATGATTGCCAAATTTGTTTTTTTCACTAGGTTCTTAAAATAACTACAGAAAACCAACTTTACTGTTAATTTGCCAAATCTGGTTGTCTAAAATGCTACATAAATAGAGTAAGATGGTAACCAGGTAGAATTTCTACACAATAATTCTTGACTATTAAAGTTCCTTTTATTTTGTTGCCTAGAAAAATACCATTTAATATCTTTTTTTTTAAATCAACTGAATGAGTGGTTGGTACTTACTGTTTTTTATCCAACAGCTTCTCCAAAACATCCAACATAAGGCCAAGCCCCTCATGACCGAAGTTATTAACCCAGCTGAAAAACACAGGATTTTTACAGTATCTTATTCATGTTGATTACAGATACATGAAACCAACACAAACTCAGATCTCCTAAAAAAAAATAATAAACTACATAATGAAAAGTACATAATGATTTTAAATTCTAGATCCGTTTGCATAAGTTAGTTCACAAAAACTATCCCTGGACTCAAATTTTGAAAAGTAGGTGTTAATTCAATCAATTCATAAAAGCTTAAAGCAGTATTATTTTTAAATGGGTAAAATATAAATATGAACAAATTGATAGAATGTCAGCACCTTATCTAGAATAGTATTGGAGTCCTGTAGCTCAGTGGTTAGAGCACTCGCTTTGCAAGCGAGAGACCTGAGTTCAATTCCAGGCAGGGCGAAACCTTGGGCAAGTTTCCTTACTCCACACGCCTAATAATAATCCCTCCAAAAAAAAACAATAATAAATTGGTCATTTTCAATCCATGACTCTTTGTGGGACACTGCTGTGCACAATTGACTGCCGCGTTTGCCCACAAATATACAGTCAATTCACTTTACAGTATATTCTGTGAAGCGCTTTGGGACGTCTGGAAGACGTGAATACAAGGATTATTATTATTATTATCAATAAGTATTACCTTCTAGTTACAGTATAATGAAATTGGGAACCAGTTACAGAATCAAAGTAAGATGAAATTTGTGATACATGATGTTGATTTTCGCTGGTGATAATTCTTGCTGCTTTGTCTCCAGAGTGAAATGGATTGTTGACACTAAAGATCTTACATGAAAAAATGCTACATAAGTGAGGTATTGAAACGTGAAAGTATACCAGTCTCAGATAAGATATTTCACGAGAACGTGGGTAAGTAGTCTCAAAACTATTTTGTAAAAAAGCAGTCTAGGATCATAGTCCTAAAAATTGAAAACCTTAAAATTAAAAAAGTTAGCATTCTTTTATTCTCCAAAATTCCATTGTATGGAGGAATAAACCTATTACTAAGTCAGTTGTTCTTACTCTCTCTACTTTATTATTAGTGATGAACATTCAATGAAATTGCTCAAAATATTGACAAGGCTCACACCAAACATGTGTTATTTCATGTTTATAAGAAAGGCCAACTCAATCTGCACTGTGATCAACAACTTATTTTTAAATTACATTATTTTCTGTACACTATGTTTTTTTTTCGAAATAGGTTTATGTTACATACAAGATTCAGTGAGCCAATTATATGAACCTACATCTACCTATCTGTTGCTTTCAAAGTTCTTATTTCTGCTTCAAAGCTTTTGGAAAAAAAATTCCGTCCACAGAACAACTGCTCTTCCTCTCTTTCTTCAACAATTTTGACTCAATGTTTTATTTTAGTGTGTTTTTTTACTTTTTTTATTTTGAATCAGAATGGCAATACCACTTTCAATGTGTCTCGTAAAATCCATGACATGACTTCAAAGGCTGCACACAGAAAAACAAATTGTTTGATAAAAAGACTGAACAAACAGTGAGATAATAAATGTGAGTCCAGAGGAGAACTGTTACGTGTGGACAGATACATGATTCTTAGAATTCTCAGCAAAACCTCAAAAAGACTTAAAAGAGAAATCATTTATCAGGTTTCATAAAAAGTGCAATCCCAGTTTCAACTATTAAGATGTCGCTTTATTTTTAAAAGACATATTAACATGACAGAGACAGCTCTAGCCAGGCTTACTGCAGATCCCAAAGAATCAGGAGTCTGATAAGTGAAGATCTCCAACATAGTTAGTTTAAATATACTGTATTAAGAATTTGTAAGTTGAATTGCCAAGTTAATATTCATGAAAGCTGCAACATAAATCCCTGTGGATTGAATAGCATAGGTAGGATTTCAACATGAAGTGATTTAAATTCAACAATACTATCATCTGAATACAACTTTTTAAACTTTTTAAAAAGAAGTTGCAGATAGACACCAGGAGATATTTATTTACCCAGAGGGTAACTACTGACTGGAATGGGAGGGACACTGAGGCCAGGAGGGTGGACTCAAGAAACACTGGATGCTGTGATGGGAGGGTGGGTATTCTAGAAAGAAGAGATGAAATGGACCAAAGAGCCTTCTTCATCTGAACCAAATTTAAGGAATCTGGACTTGATTAGTGCATTTACCAGCTTGATATAGTAACTTCTTGCTTCTGACTTTTCCATTTGGTTCAGTTTTGCACGTGGTATTTTTCTCACAATAACCGTGAAACTACTGCCTTTGGTCTCACTTGTCAAATGACGCTTTTTTGAATGTCAACTATCTAGCATCTTGGGAGTCTACATTTTCGTTCTACAGCATTCCGTGTCATCCAAGTACTTGCTATAGTGCTGCTATATTATTATTATAATAATATTATAGTGCTATCAAATATAAAACCTCTGGTACTTTACAGATAATGCTATGCAAAATGGAACATAAAATAGGATGAAAAGCAGTTTCTTTTTAAATACAAAACAGAGGAGTGCCAACCACATCCATCATTGAAGGGAAAATGCTTAAATCGCCTAACCAGCTTTATTCTATGAGCACTTCACGATTCATCATAAGAATGAGTTTTGAACCAAAACTTCCCTATAGTCCAAGGAATATAAAAGGATCACTCTATCCCTAGACAATTCAAAAGAACAATTGTGTCTCTTGGTAATGAACTGTTGAATATCACTGGCAATGATGACACTGATCATTAATCCTACCAGTGGAAATGTCTTCATGCTTCAATGAAACAGAAGTGAGTGACATGATGCATGTCACGGAAAAAAAAAATCAATGAAAACATCTCTAACAGCTTTTCTGTGATCAAGTTTTTGAAGTAGACGGGAAACTTTCTTGTGTTTTATCGTGAAACAGATGCTTGAGTTTATCTAGAATGGAACTTTCAAACTAGTGTTGAATTTTAGTTGCTCTTTAACAAATATGGTATAATTATGGTAAATATGTTTGCTGTAGCTTTTCAGATGTGCATGTGACCATCATATCTGTGCTGGTGCCAGCTCCTCCACTGCTGATTCTATTCTCCTTGCCTCTTCCCTATACTTTTTGACAAAAGCTCCAGAATGAAAGTACATTTTCAATTAAAAAATAAATAGTTCCATATAAAATTCATATTTTTAGAAGGTATCAAGGTATGAAGGTATCATATTTTAGAAGGTAGTCACAAGCTGCTGTTCACTCAGCAATAATTCAGCTGGTTCCATGCAGTAAAGAAACTTAGCCAGAGAAATGATTGGAGCAGTAGAGATGACTATCATATATGTGAACCTTTAATATGAATTCTTATCAATGATGGATGTGGTTGGCACTCCTCTACACAGAGCTAATTTGTTGGCCAAACATGTTCAGAACTCAAGAATATAACCTTAAATGCCAATTATTTTTCGTACAGCAATGGCTTCTTTAATAGTTCAAGCTTACTGAAACTGTAGATAGAGATAAGTAAGTTTCAAGATCACAAGGTAATTTATGTCTGTCCCTGCAATGGAAAAAAGGCTAGTTTAAAGCAATGGTTAAAGGGATTTAGGTCACTGATCTTAGTTGATTTTACTCTCTGGAAATACAAATGCTATATCTGTTACTCCAAGTCATGCACTTAACACCAATTTAATCGTATGACAGATTTACCACCCATAACAGAGCACCTAGGTCTTAAAGAAGGTTTCACTATACAGCACTTTTTTAAACAAAAGACAGTGCTGAAAGAATTAACATTATTAGTGTCAGCATACTATATAATGCAAGAACTTCATTGGCATAAAGGTATGATTTTCCACGACTGAAGAAAAATCCTGCAAACTAAGGTCAATGTCCTATCATCATTAAGTGCTTTTGGGAAAAAAGTTGGCTTATTTAAATTCGGTTAGTTTCCATATTGATATGCTGGAGCTGTGTGATTTGCATTAAGATAAAGCTGCATTTGCTATTTTCTACTGGTCTCAAGGTCATCCAAGATTTAAGTTATTAATTTTTCAACCAGCTTCTGCTGCTTATGAATATTTTCTGCAATGGCAAACCTGACATAATTATGCTTTTCTATTCTTTTTCTCAAACAACACAATCATTAGCATAAACTATTTAACATGTAATTACTTTTTTCCAGAGCATCAAATCATCACCAGCCCATAACAGATAAAATTATATTAGGACAAGAACATATTTGTTCTATTTGTTCTAGAGAAACGCATGTGAACGCTTCACATGCTCAAGTTCATAGCATAATGAACATAATCAGCAGGAATGAAACAGATCAGTTTAATATAATCACTTAATCAGTTGGGGATTTTTTTTCTGTTAAGTAGACTGCATATTAAAAACTACTCTATAGGAACAAAATTCATCCAACCACTAATTCGACTTGAAGCTTTCCTAATTTTAAGCCTATTTCCTCCAGTTTTTCTCTCATGGTATGTCAATGATCTTACTCGCAAGTTCACCACTCAGCCTTTTCAGTCTTAGATGACATTCCCCCTCAATTTTTTTCTGATGAGAACAGGTTCAATTCTGTCAACGTTTCTCATAACTTCAAAATACTGTAAACGTCTACTCTCAAGACATTTTTAAGCTGGATCGAAGTTTACAATTACTGTTCAGCATTTTACTTCTTTCATGGATGCTCTGTATATCTGAACCATGTGAGCAAGTCTGAAAAGTTGCTGCAATTCAACAGATGGGTCTCTCAAAACTAAAGGAATATCCAAAAATCACTTCAGAGAGGAAGTAAAGACATAGGTTTAGATTGAGCTGGTACCAAATCCGGAATGAAATTCCAGCAAGAAAATTAACAAATGCATATTTAATGAAAAAGTTTCAACTTAAGAGCTGCCATTTAACCCCACATCAATAAACTCAAATCAAATCAATTTGTAACACCACTTTGCAGAACTCAGAACAAGACCGATGAAAATATTCTAAATTCAAGTCCACAATTTATATTTGAACTGTAGTCTGTCTCACTCTGCCCAGAAACGATATGAATACAAGACATGATGGTTACAGTCTATTCTACATTTATATTTCAGTACCAAGATTTTATGATCAGTAAGGACCCCTTGTGAATTAACACTGCTATATCTGGAAAAGCAGCAAAGGGTTTTATAATGCTCAGTCCTCACATTTTAACTCTATTTGACTGTGACATGAAAAGTTTTATAAGGCATATCATTAACTCGTGAAAATGGCCATAAAGTTAAAGGTCTCAAAAAATCTGCATTCCTGCCTCTGTCAATTTGTTTTTGAGCCAAACACAACATGGCACACAGAACGATTATGACCAATTGCCTGTCAGACATCCAATCCTAGGTGAGCTCTAACTTCTTTAAATTGAATGTCAACAAGGCCAAGGCTCTCCTGCTTCGCTCCAATCAGTGTATAATGTAGTATCTGTGAATTTATAGGTGGACTAAGCACTATTAATAATAATAAACAATAATAATCCTTGCATTGATATAGCGCTTTTCACATCTTCTCAACATCTCAAAGCGCTTCACAGAATATACTGTAAAATTAATTGACTATATTTATAGGCGAAACGCGGCAGCCAATTGTCCACAGCAGTGTCCAGGGATAAGAGTTAACTTTCTGTAGTTGAAGTTAACAAGACCGAGGCTCTCCTGATTGGATCCTATCAGCATCTCCTCACCTCAGGCGCTGACAGCATCACCATCCATGGTTGCACACTCCACCTTACTAACCCAGTCCGGCGTTTTATTTGAACCTCAACTATCTTTTCTACCCCACATCTGTGCCATGACTCGCTCTGCCTTCCCCCACCTCCACATCATCACCCGGCTCCGCCACTGTCTCACACCACAGGCTGCCGAAACCCTCATACACGCTTTCCTTACATCGAGGCTTGACTATACAAACTCCTTGCTTGACGGCCTCCCCAACTTCTCCCCTCCACAGGCTGCAGATCATCCGGAACTCTGCAACCGGTGTCCTCTCCCGCACCAGGCTCTGTGACCCTATCACCCTCATCCTCACCCGACTCCACTGGCTTCCCATCGCACAAAGGATACAGTTCAAGATCCTGGTCCTCACCTTCAAAGCCCGCCATGGTCTTGCTCCCCCTTACCTCTGCGACCCCCTAACCCCCTACCATCCTGCTCGCTCCTTCCACTCAGCGGGCTCCAGACTGCTTCACGTCCCCACCTCCCTCGCCACACCATTGGCAGCGGGCCTTCTGCCACTCTGCCCCCACCCTCTGGAACTCCATCCCACGGTCCCTCTGCCTCACCGCCTCCTCCTTCAAGACCCGTCTCAAGATCCTACTTTTCGACCGTGCTTTCGATCACCCTGCTTCGCCCCCTGCCCTCCACCCTCCCCGATCACGACCCCCAGCTCGGGTTCGAAACTCTGACTGTCCAGTGTCTTGGGACGTCCTCCCGACGTGAAAGGTGATATACAATGTAATTGTACCAATTTTTCTCGTACACCTTCTTTGCAAATGTGCTTGTAAGATAAGAAACCTAGCTCCTTTTCTTGATATTTATCGCAAAGTTTTGTTCGCCTAATTTATGCAAATGTTCATTATTTAATGAATCCTTAATCTGAAAATTATACAGCTACCAAGACTTTAACATATTTAATATGAAGTGCAAAATGTAATTACTGTATTAGTTTATAATCCCAATGGTATCATCTTTCTTTGATGAAAAATAAGACTTTCTTAATCTCTCTGCATGAGCTACCTGCTGCCACACAGCTTCTCAGCCTTAAGGAAGACAACATTTATGCTACATTCTTCCCCACAGTGCTACTTCATGCCTATGCAAAGGCAAGAACAAGCAACATGTAGCCCTGGGATTCAACAAGGCAACTGTATGTTTGGGTGGTTCGTACTTAACCGTCTATACTTTCAGGCTGCATCAGTTGTACCCTACCTTTCCTTAATCCTCTACAAATTCAGTACTATAAAGTGTTTAGAACAATGAGAGAGAAAAAAAATTGAGCTCTGATCCCAATAATTAAGGTTCCACTTACCTAACAGGATTGCTGGTTAAAGAAACTCTCAATGATTCCAGGCAGTTGAGAAGCTTTTCATCAGCAATTCCAGAGCGCAACTCATGGACATATTCCTGAGATGACAAGGTACTTTCATGTTTGCTGTTTTTCAGTCCTCCCTAGACCAAAGCATTAGAAAAAGTGTTATTTGCCAAGCACACAGAATATATGCAGGTTCAAGTACTCTTTCCACATATGAACAAAGTTAAAAAAAAGAAGTTTTGACAATCTTCGATTTTAAGTTTTATGGTCGGCAATTCAGAATTGTTGGTGCCTGATTTCTTAAATAAAAAGCCATCTGCTAGAAAGTCCATATATTCAAGTGCTTCAATACATTTTCTGTTGAACACATTTTGCCAGCACTGAAGCAAATTTCCAGATGGTAAAATTAAATTATTAAAACAAGGAAAAAGTATGAAAACATAAAAATAAAGCTACTACCATCAGTCATCATAGAAGCGCTTTCAACAATACACATATAGATATATAGATTTAAAAATAAGATGGTCTAACTCAAAGAAATTTTGCTTCAAATATTGGCAAGTCATAAATATTAAAAACAATCTACAGTCAACAACAACCACAATGAAATCTAAATGATATTCCAACTGTGAAATAATATAGAAAACTTCAAACAAGAACCAGTATTCCAGATATTGAAATTATTTTTGTCAAAATGAAACAAGTTACACGGAACTAATACATTAGATTTTTTAAAAAAAAAGTTATTTCAGTAAATAAACACTAGTTAATGATTTGTTGCATTTTTTGGTACATAAGATGCTTACCGTAGAACATGATAAGGTCAGTCATTTAACTATATTGTATTTTTGTTTGAAATTACAATTCACAACATGATCTTGTAATGGGCATTTAAATGGCTCATTTCAAATCAATAAGAAATTGTGATTCTGATGGTAACATTTATTTTATAAAAAGAATCAAATGACCTTAATGAATCTCCTTGTTCCATTCTACAAACCAAATTGTCATCCCCTAATCACCAATACTTGTTTTTTTTAAATCTCTCCTATTCCAAAACTTTGGTGATGCTGTGTGAACGAACTATCATAATATTCAACTTTATAAAGCCAATTTGGGCAAAAATGGTGTGTTTGTATGCTGAAAATGTCTGAACAAAAACATCTATTACATAATCATTAAAATCAGCATTTTAAAGATGGATAAAAATATAGTGAAACAAATGGTAAAAATTCAAGAGAAACGTTAGGCAGAACCCAGTATGCCAAGAAACACATCACAGTGGAATCCGCTCTAACCAGATGCCGGTGAACTTTGGACTCCGGATAAATTGGGCAAAACGCCCGGCCCTGATTCATTTGTATTCTTACCCATTTTAAATATGCCTGTTAATTCGTAAAGCAATTGGGTTAATCTGGACAAAATACTGCGCTGGTCGCTGCTGAATGTACTCACTCTGTGTCTCGAGCGGTTCCATTCAGCCAAGAGTGGCTTCACAGATGGGAGGAGTCCCACTGCAAATGATTGACAGCGGACTCCAGCCATTCACAAGCAGCTTTGCGCTTTCAATCAGTGAGGGGACAAGAGGAATGGGAAGAAACAAGGGAGGGAATAGAAGGAATCAAATTGCGATTGACTGACAAGCCTGTAGCTGCTTGTGAATGGCTGGAGTGCCTCGGACCTCTCGCTAATGGTCCCTTTCCCGTCCAACGGGAACGGCAATGGGAGGGAGGAGGCGTTGACGCTGCTCCTCTGCTGGGCGGGAAGAGTTAACGGAGCTTCGGTTAACCTCGGACTCCGCTTTCGATGGACCAAATAGACGGTCTAACCGGCTTCCACTGTATTTTCATCCATTATATTTTATGTTCTATTAAATTTGACCAATACACCATGTACCTTCTACTTATTTAATACAGAGCTACTCTGTTGCAACAGTCAAGAAAAACTGTTGGATAAGTTACACATTCTTGTGCTAAATTACATTTAGATAGAAATCTATGATTTAGGTAAGATTTAAAATGAAACAACCATCAATAAATATCCGAAGAAGAAACTTGTAATATCATACAAGGTTCCCAATGAAGCAGAGCAGTTCCAATTATTAGTGAACTGTCTGCCTAATAACAACTGCATACAGTATAACTTATTCATCCATGTAATTTAAATACTGTGCTGAAATCATTTACGTTATGGAGTACAACCCACTCATGTTATGACTTAATATTTAAACTTAAATTTAGAATGGCAAAAAGTAGGATAGCAATTAACCTGCCAGCCTTCTCAGCAGTGAAAGTGCATGGTGTGAATAAGATCTACCAAAAGGCAGCAAAATATGGCCAAGAGACAAAGAAAAACCTTGAAAGCTATTGCTCATAGGAAATATTCAGGAAAAAATCTACAATTTTCCTCCCTACTTACAAGAACAATACCTTGGTGGAGGAATGTAAACCATTTCCTTATAAATACAGAATCTTTAGATATGACTTAATTATGTGCAGTGTTCAGTGTACACTTAGATAATTGAACTAAAATCCAAGAAACCAGATTCACATAGCTTTTATACCTTAGGATGATTGTGTATACAATGGCTGTATTTTACTTTTTTTCATAATAATCTGCATATTGTAACTATAATGTAATAATAATGATGCTACAATCGCACATGATAAACACATGTATAACCAGCACAAATAAGCATCTTCAAAACTAAACAAAAACAACTTGCATTTATATTGCGCCCTTCACACGGGGTAGTCCCGGAGCGCTTGACAGTGGCAGAATCTGGGTGGGGGGGGGGGGGGACATGTGACCGTAAAGTACGATCAAAAAGGAAGGTCTATAGGCAGGATCTGAAGGTGGGGAGGAAGGGGGCAAGTCGGAAGGATTGAGAGAGAAAGTTCCATAGTTTCGGGGTGTAGTTGCTGAAGACACAGACACCAATGGTGGAGCTGAGGGGACAAGAGACAAACAGGAGGCCGGAAGCAGCAGGTGATGCAGGGTGTAAGCAGATCGGATAGGGAGGGAGGTACCAGGGTATGAAGGGATTCAAAAACGAGTGAGAGGATCCCGAAATTGATCTGTTTGGTATTTGGGAGCAAGTGGAGCCTGGCAAGGGCTGGTGTGATTGGGGTACGGAGTTTTGCATGGGTGAGTATCCGAGGGACAGAGTTATGGATTAATTGAATGTTGTGCACAGTGGATCTGGGGAGACCAGCAAGGAGGGCACTGGAATAGTCCAGCCGGGAAGTGACAAAGGAGTGGACAAAGGTTTCGGCTGCATTGGTTGTGAGGTACGGATGGAAACGAGCAATGTGATGGAAGTTGAAAAAAGTGGTCCTGGTCAGGGAACGGATGTGGGGTGGAAAGGAAAGCTGAGGATCGAACTTGACACCTAAGTTCCACTTGAGTTCAGTGAGTCTGAGGGAGAGCCTACGGAGACTCAGGAGTTCAGACACGGAGTTAAATAAATTGCTACTGAGAATTGTACAATTCAGCAGAAGCCTCCCGTGAGCAACAATAAAATGTTGGCTATAATCAGCAGTATCTGTGATCTGCTGCATCAATCTATCTCTCAATGAGTGAGAATCAAAGCACATAAACAAATCATGACTTGGCACAATTTGCATCTTCAGTCACTGTGGAGTTCTGTAGCTCAGTGGTTAGAGCACTCGCTTTGCAAGCGATAGACCTGGGTTCGATTCCTGGCAGGATGAAACCTTGGGCAAATTTCCTTACTCCACACAACTGATTAAATTCCCTCAAAAAAAAATAATAAACTGGATCATTTAAATTCACGACTGTTTGTGGGACATTGCTGTGCGCAATTGGCTGCCGCATTTCTCCCACAAATATACAGTCAATTCAATTTACAGTCTATTCTGTGAAGAGCTTTGAGACGTCTAGAAGACCTGAAAAGCACTATATCAAATGCAAGGATTATTACTATTATACGATTGATTTGGGAAGTTGAAAATTTTAAATTGGGTCATCAAACGATTCTCAAATCTGAATCTTTTTGTGCTGTGTGACCTACAAATGCTTAAAGGTGAGAAAAGTCTTCTATTCTCAGAACATACACTTTCACCTCAATGAGCTCAACAATTCACATTAAATAATTTTAAAATGTTTGAAAATTTAAAGCATTTTAACAATGGCCAAATAGTCACAAAAAGTTTTACTCAACCCATTCTGACAACACTGGAGCTTGAATCTGCTAATCCACTACAAATCATTTTCTCTCTCTCCCTAAGGGTTTCCTTCCTTGCTTCTAAAAAGACTTCTTATGGTTTGCTTGTATGATGGATGATCCCTTTAAATGTCGGTGTAAAAATGGAACATTTGCTGCATTTATGAATGAACTTAAGCAGGTTCTTCCAACAGATTTCCACAGAACACTGAAAAGCAAAATCTATAGACATTAAAAACAACTACTCGCTGTCACCATTAAAAATGGCCTTTTTGGGGGGGAAGGTGGGTTAAAGACAATCAACACCGATATAGTATTGTACGTTACTGGTCTTAGAGTTGAAATGAGAACTTTTGAAACAACCCCTAAGGGATTATCACAGATAAGAGTTGACATTCAATCTGATTGGTCCCAAAGTACAGCATGTACTTTTATTCTTGGCGCAATCACAAAGTGAAGTCGCCACGGAAAGTCACAAAGGAGTCTGGGGCCATCTGTCTAACCTACCACCTAAGGAATTATGCATGAAGGTGAGCAGCTATCGTTGAGGAGAAACAAATTGAGACAAGGCAACAAACTGCTTAAAATAAATTTTAACAAGAGGAGTTATTGTTGCACTATAGAAAGAGGAGGAAAAAATGGTGAAAATGCAATGTATACATGTGCCTCAACTGTTACAAATATGATGCAATTTGTGAGACTTTGAAACCTCATTTGGGAAAATGCAAACATACAAGCAATTGGTTTTAAGGTCTAACTGTTTGTTGAAGATTAAGAGTAATATATTTTAAGAATAAGTACACTTTTTAATACAATTGCAGGAAATTATCAAATGTTCGCGAGAAACATATTTTGAACACAAACTTATTCGCCAATATTAGTATCACCAATTTCAAAGTTACTTTGAAAAGTATGCTCAGGTATCGACAGATAATTCTGTGCTTCTTTTAA